GTGAACCAGGTCCGTCTCTGAACTGTCAACTCACGTTTGAACCTTTTAGTGCGCTAGTCTGGTCCTCCTCAGGTTAAAGTCCTCCAGAAAAACAGTGAGTCCACAACAAGTCTGACATCCAGCTGATGTTGGTGACAAAAGAAGACACAAAACTGCAAAAACAAGTCCAGAAAATTATCAGAAAAAGACAAAAAACTACAGTGATTAGCCCTAAAATAACCAAAACATGGAGAGAAGTACTAGCCAAATTTTCAAACGGACCAGAAAAAACGCAACAAAATACCAGAAAATGTTTAGAAATAGACTAAAAACTCCAATAATTAAGACCAAAAAATTTCCAAACTGACGAGAAACAGATACAAAACTGCAACAATGGACAAAAAAATACAAAAATGTGGAGCAAAAGACCAAAGAAACAGACAAACTGATCAGAAAAGGACAAAAGAGGACACAAAACTGCAAAAATAAGTACATCACAAGTCCATAAAATGATCAGAAACAGACTCCAGTAATTAGCCCTAAAATAACCAAAGCATGGAGTGAAATACTAGCAAAATTTCCAAACTGACCAGAAACAGATACAAAAATGAAAAAAAGAAAATGAAAAAATGGCGCAAAAGACAAAAAAAAAGGACAAAGTGGTCATAAAATGACAAAAGAATACACAAAAATTAGCCAGAACGACATCAAATTCATGCTTAGACTGAAGGAACATGTTGATTTTACACAGATTTGACCCTAACTTCAGTTGGTAACTCATTTAAAGAAGCTTTTATCCAACACTGAGGTCTGTGCACATGGACTCTACCAGGAGTGGGGTTCGAACCCACGTGGGAAGCTCCCATTGGATCTTAAGTCCAACGCCTTAACCACTCGGCCATCCTGGTGCTCTGATTGGTCCCCAAGTCCTGAAATCTGCAAGTTTTGCTCAGATTCTGGTATTGATGTGCGGAAAAATACCCCAAAAATTGACAAACTGATCAGAAAATGACAAAAGAAGATATAAAATGGCAGAGATAACACAACAAAATACTGGGAAATGACAAAAGAAGACATAAAATGGCAGTGAAAACACAACAAAATACCAGAAAATGATCAGAAATGGACTAAAAACCTAAACAAATATCCATAAAAGCACCAAAAATGTTCAGCAAATGACCAAAAAACTGATCAAAATTTGACTAAAAATCCAATAATTATCCATAAAACGTCAAAAATGTGCAGCAAACAACCAAAGTGACAGAGAAGATATGAAATGGCCGAAAAAACACAACAAAATACCAGAAAATGTTTAGAAATAGATTAAAAACTCAGATAATTAAGACCAAAAAATTGCCAAACCGACCAGAAACAGATACAAAACTGCAAGAATGGACAAAAAATATGAAAAAATGTGGAGCAAAAGACCAAAGAAACAGACAAACTGATCAGAAAAGGGACAGAAGAGGACACAAAACTGCAAAAATAAGTACATCACAAGTCCATAAAA